AGTCACTGAAGCCAGGATAAGTGGGTATTATTTTTAAGTGTGGGTGTTCTTATGCATATGCCCTCTCTTCTTATCAGCTGGACGCTTCACTCTCCACCCTAGTCCTCTGTGGCTAGGTCACTGACTCTGGGCCCAAGAGTCCCCAGGTCTTGCCACACTGCTGGCCAACCAGGTATTCACCCGGGTTCACAGAAGTCTATTGAACGTGGAGCTGCTGGTAGTTTTGAACTGTTGACCTTGAGGTTAGCAGCCCAACCGTAACAACTGTGGTGGTAGTAGTAGTGCCATGGAGTTGGTCCTGACTCATAGCGACCCTGTACATGGTTTCCGAGGCTGTACATCTTTATGGGATTAGAAAGCCTCTATGCTACCAGACATAAAACCCTTTTTCTTGTGTGTGTTTTTTTAGAGCAAATCCCAAGTATTCTGTTATTTCACTTATAAAACAGTTAGTTCTTTAATTCCTTCATGTTATTTAATGTCCATTCCATAGATTTCCAGAACTGTCCCATAAATTACTTTTAAAGTTGGTTTGCTTGAAACTAGAGCCAAAGAAGGACCACATATTGCCTTTCTTTATGTTTCTTAAAACTGTTTTTTTGTTCTAACAGCTTTGCTCCTTTTTCATTTCTCTATGTTTCTGCATTTTTGCACAAAGTGGGCCATCTGCCCGGTAGGCTAGTTTTTGCCGATTCCATCCTTGTGGTATTTGAACTTGTTTCTCTCTTCCATAGGCTTCCTGTACACTAGCTCTAGTGACTTGATCAGGTTCATAGTCGATGCTTTTGTCTAGAGTGCTCTCTAGGTGAGGCTGTGCACTTCCCACTGCATCACAACACAAGACACATGGCTTTTAGTGCTAAGATTGGTCAGTGGGTTCTGGTGGAGTTGCTGATTCATTGTAAAGCTCCCATCATGCATCTCCTGAGTGCGCTTAGCATCTACTGATGACCATTGTTATGTGAGATTTGTTCCTTCACTAGGAGTTGGAAAAAGGTGAACTACTTCTAAAGCATTGTCAGGACAACCTCTTTAGCTTCTGATTTTACTTCAGGCAGGGGTAACCTCCATATCTGTAAATGAGTATGTTAAGAATGTCCCACGCTTGTGGGGTGATTCAGCAATTTTCCAGTTGCATGTTTTGCTTGTTTGATGGATTTTTTTTTTGTAAAAGGAAATCTTGTTGGTTTTTCAGAAGTTATGGACGCTCTGGTGTTTTGTTGGGTAGATGGGGCATACCTGAGTGGTTCTTGGCTCACAGGAAGTGCTTCATTCTTCTTCCCACAGAAAGATTTACTCCTCAGTGAGATTCCAAGTAGCACCACCTCGCTCTGCTCCAGGAAGGTGGCTGTGGAGAAGGTGATGGCAAAGGAGATCTGCCATAGGTACCTGGAGAAGCGCGCAGGCAGGCTACCGGAGGATTGTGCCGAGGCCCTGGTGGCTGCCGCCTGCCTCTGCCTACGGAGGCGTAATGCCAACCTGACCGAGGTGAGAGCTGCTGGCTGAGGCCATTACCTGAGAATTAGTCCTAGCTCATCACTTTACCAAGGATTGATTTCTTAAACCAGTACTGTATTTTTGGCTTACTTGAGCCCAAAAGGAAAGTATACAGGTAATGAATGTTTTGGAACCTCCAGGGCAGGACCAGATGCTTAGATGTCTACAGAACTTGCTCCACTTTGCTCTGAATCTGCCTTAGCCCTTTTCCCTGAAACACATAACTTTCCTTTCTTCCATTTCCTTGGGGAGGGAATATGGCCCTCCTGCCTTTACATGTTACAGGTCTAATCTCCCTGAGAAGCTAAGTCACCATGTCCCAATTCCAACCTCCCAGAGAGACAACCTGATTGGCCTACCTTAGAGCAAATGTCCACCTCTTGGTCACTCAGGTTAAGTGAAGGGCATAGGGTCAAATATGTAAATCTGCCCACTGTGGGCCCAACCCTGGATGGTGGAAGAGGTTCCAGGTCCCAGAGAAAGGATGCATCGTTAGCATATTTTCCTATGGCCATGATACATATAGTTTCTATGGTAACAGGTATCAACTTGGGCACCACTTCGAGATCTTTCGAAGGACAAAATGTTTGACTGAGCAGCCTGTGGGATCATCTAATCCATTGATTTTCAAATCTCCTCCTGCAGAGAGGGTCTTCTTGGGAGTATCTCAGATGTTGGCAGAGAGAGGGGTTGAGAGAACTGCCTGCCCACTCATGGGAGACACGTCCAACTTCAAGTCTCCTAATTGTATTGGGTTCTTAAGATGATTTCATTTGAGGAAAGGTGTTTCTGAGAGTTGAAACACCAGTGTTAGCTCAAAGGGAAAAGCCAGAACCGCAGTCCCTTTCTCAGGACTCCTGTCAACCATCTTGCCCGGTATCATAGCTGAAGCTGGAGACCTGAGCCATTGTGTTTTAAATCTGAGCTGGTCTCTAGGTGCCCCAGTGCTGGCAGTTAGTCATTCATTCAGCATCTCTGCACTGGGCCCTGTGGACTCACTGGTGAACAAGGCAGACCCAGTCACACATGGCTGAGACTCACAGACATTGCTCAGTAATTGTCTGTGTGCTGAGGGCTGGATTAGTGTCTGATGGGGCCCACTGCAGAGAGGACTTCTTCAGGAAGTGACACTGGAGCAGAGAAACCAGTCCCAGCAGCAGGGAACACTTCCTGCAAGTGCCTGAGGTGAGAGAAAGCCTGCCATAGTCAGGGGCCAGGATAAAGGCCAGCAGGGCTGGGGAGGAAGAAGGAGCCCAACAAGGCTTAATCAGCATGCTACGGAGTTTGGGGAAGTCACTACAGATTTTAAGGAGTGGCACAACACAATTAGATTTATGTTTTAAAAGCTCTCTCTTCCGTAGTCACATATTCTTTTCCCAGGGCTCCATCCCTTTGTTTGGTTTATTCATTTGCTTAGCTAAGCTGCTACAATGAGGGAACTCCAAAGCACAGTGATTTAAACAAGATAGAATTTTTGATTTCAGAAAGAGTCTGTAATGGGTGTTCTTGTCTCCCTTCTCCCCAAGGTGTGTGGCTCTGTGGCTGCTGTGGAGGAGCGGCTCAGAGGTCAGGGGACTTCGCTCCCATGGAGTGAGCTTTCTGAGGGCACAGGCACCTCCTCTAACACCCCAGAAGAAACAGATGATGTGGACAATTCCCTCCTGGAGGTCACCTCCTCCATGGCCTGGGCCCCCTCTGCAGGGGTTGCCTCCTCCCTTCTACCTACAGAGGATGGAGAAGGAGGGCCTCAGGCCAGAGGGGAAGTAGAGGCCTGTGCCAACCTGGCATCCCCCCAGGATGGTAAGTCTGTGGAGGTCTGGGTACTCATACACACTCGCTCTGTGCCCCTAACATCAGCCCAGCGTTTCCTCATCCATCGTACGAGGAGAAACCTGGGAGTCATTCTTGACGTTGTGCCCCTGGACTGCAAGGTCGGTTTGAACTGCAAGATGGGCGATTCAAGCTAAGCAGCCGCTCCTCAGAAACCCTGTACAGAATTACTATGAGTCAGAACCGACTCCATGGCCTTTAACAGCAACAACAATCTCCAGCCTGTCTCCTAGCCCTGTGTAACCTCCCACATAACTTCCAGCTCCACAGCCACCCCAGGCTAAGCTACCGTCTGCTCCTGCTATGGCTGCAGAGACTTCTCTGCTTCGTCTCCCGCCCATCCTGACCCCTCACCAGCCCTGTCACCAGGTGCCAACCAGAGTAGATTTTAAAAACACAGATCATATCCCCTCTTTTTTTAAGCCCACTATACTTAGGAATCATTTCAGGTCTATTTACCACAACGACAGGCCCACCTGGGTGGTCTGCCCCTGCTTGCATACTCACATTCCTAGCAAACCCCCTATCTCTGCCAGCCACTCTTAAAGATACCTCACATCTCTGACGCTCAGCTCTGAATATATCAGATTTTCCCGGAAATAAAGATTAGGACTGCATCTCAACCCATTGCCCCTGCCCACTGGTGACCTCGGCTCAATTGGTGTCCCAGCTCAGACAACTAGTGGGGAGGGATCCTGGAGGGAGTAGAGAAAGACTGTAGATGTTCCCGCCTAAAATGCCTCTTTGTGGGGAGCAATGTGGAAGTCCCCTCCTCTCTGAAAATGTGGGATGTAGGTTGCAGGGCCCTCCTGCAAAAATAGAAGTGGTGAAAATGCCCATTACACTCAGGGCCTGATTCAGAAACCTGATTCAAGTAAAAGATTACGACTCCATCCTACTTCAAATTAATTATAATAGCAACTAGTTCCAAATGCCTTTTGTCAACTTGTTCTTTTTCCTGTTCTGTTTAATGCCTACTACAGAGAGTTCTTGGAAAATTGAGATCAACGAGGCCAAAAGGAAACTGATGGAAAACATCGTGCTTTACAAAGAGGAGAAACTGGACAGTATCGAGCTTTTTGGTGTCTGATGACTAGGACAAACCCGAGGACCCTGTTCTTAAATTGAAAACACAAGAGTTATATCAAGAAAAAAGTCTGAAACAGAATCCAAAATCCGTCATGAAACACACATACCAAATATCTTCTGGGAGAGAGACCACCATTTCACCAGAATGAGTTAGGGGAGAAGGATCTTGACTTTCAGAGACACCGAATCCTGAGAAGCCTCCTTCCTTTTGGGGATCTGTTAATCGGAGCTGGGTACCAGAGGAGACTGAAGTGGGAACTCTGGTTCATGGGCCCAGGATGTGGGTGGATTTTGTGATTCCGGGAAACGAATGACAATAACCGCCCTGGCAGATGCTGTTTCCCAGCTCTTACCCTTTGACAACTAGCAGAGCATTCTGGGATGTCCATACAGGTTCCAGAGGTCAGATCTCTGGGTCATATTTGCCAGCAACCCCTAACAAACTTCCATGCCTAGAAAGATTTTCGATTTGTGTCTAACTGCGGTTTTTGACTCACCTCTCAAGTTCTCATATTTTGAAATGCCAGACACCTGGCAAAGAACTTTGTAAGTTTTCAGTTTCCTTTATTGGAAGTTGACCAACAGAGTTATTTATTTTTGTCTCCTTAGCATTTCTACCCTCCCACCCTACCAGTACTAATATTTTTGGTGGCACATTTATTTTGAGACTATATGTTATTTATGTCTGATTCTGCTGCTAATTAAGTCAATCACTGAGTCCCTGAAACCTCAGTTTCCTTGTCTGTAAGATAACACTCACTCAGCCTCCCTCCCTGGGCTGTTGGGAGGAGCAGGTGAGAAGGTGACAACAGAAGCACTTTGAAAATGCACTTGTTCTGTCGGATGAGATGAACACATAAAAGGTGTTAAAGGTACATTTATGCCGTGGATATATTTCTGTAAAGTCATGCTATAAATGCGATCTTAAATTCACTGGGTAAGCAGCCTATTTAAAATAAATCAACTACATGATTTTGATTTTGGGTTTTTTTTGTAAAATAAAAATACTTTTGTATAGTCAACACATCCCTTGTAATTTATTTTGTGTTCCAGGTGAATTTGTTTAGAGAAAGTACCTTGTATGCGTAAGAGGGACATCACAAGGGGTTAAGTCCTTAGTCACTGACTCTGAATGTTGGCTCTGTTAATAGTTATTGGATCTTGGGCTTCTGCTTTGTCATTGATGCAATGGGGAGAATAAAAAGAACAAAAGGTGGTTGTCAGGGTAAGACCAGAACAGTTTTGTGCCCCAACCCAGGTGGACAGAGATCTGTCCAGACAGCCTGTTGTAAGCTCAGTGATATGAGAATTCTACAAGAGTTTGGCAAACAAAAAAGCCCAAACTAGTTGCCATTGGAGTTAATTACAACTCATGGGGACCCATGTGTGTCAGAGTAGAACTGCCTCATAGGGTTTTCAAGACTGTGATCTTTCAGAAATAGGTCACCAGATCTTTCTTCTGAGGTGCCTCTGCTGGCTTCAGACCACCAAACCTTTATGGTTAGTAATCAAGCACTTAACAATTTGGCCACCCAGGGACTTACAATTAGAGTAGATCCAGGGCTGTTTGAGCAAACAAATGAGGACTGAGGGGAATAGGGGGTTGGGATCCAGACATTCTTGCAGACTTTGTTGTTGTTATTAAGTGTCTTCAAGGCACTTCCAACTCACAGGGACCCTACATAGGGTTTCTGAGGAGCGGCTGGTGAGCTTGAATGGTTGACCTTGTGGTCCAAAGCGACCTTGCAGCCCAGTGGCTTAACCCACAGTGCCATGCCAGGGTTTCTCTTGTAGATTAGGATTTCATATATTTTTTGTTGGGGTTTCAGAGTTCTCTTTAGAATTTACTGAAAGTAATGGACCTTCTTTCCTTAGCAAGTTGTAAATTCATAATGCACAATTTGTACATGAATTCCATGGGTTTAAGGATGCCACAATAACTCTCCATGGTCCCCTGTAGGCAAGACCTAACTCTGTTGATGTTCATAGATTCACATGATAAAACAGTACAAAATGTTGCATGATGAAACAGAAGTCTCTCTCTTCTCCCCAGAGATCTGTATTAGTAGTTTGGGGATATTTTTCTGAGAGGATTTATAAATACGAAAATGTATCTTGGTGCACAACATCAGTCAGCAGAGACATGCAAATCAAAACCACAAGGAGATACCGTCCTAATTCTTCAGCATTAGGATGCTGAGAATCAACAAGTCAAGTGTTGATGAAGATGTGAGGAAATTGGAATGCTTACACACGGGTGGTGGTGGTGTGCTGTCGAGTCAGTGGGTTTGACTCATAGTGACTGTCATGGTTAGGGTTCTGTGTCAACTTGCCTAGGCCTTCTGTGTCAACTTGCCTAGGCCAGGATTTCCAGAGGTTAGCAATTGAGATGTGCTTATTCCCATGGCGATGAAACCTAATACAGGCATAGTTAGGTCTATGATGAGTGACCTGAGTAGCCAATCAATTAAAGGGATACTTCCTTGGGGGTGTGGGCTGCTCCCAATATAATTAACACCTGGGAAAGACTTTCTCTCTCTCTGTCTCGCTCTCTTCCATTAGAGACCTGGAACTCTACAATTGTAAGCCATTTTTTTTTATAATAAACTTCTCCATATATATATGCTGCTGCTGTGTGCCGTGGAGTCGGTTCCGACTCATAGCGACCCTGTACAGGGTTTCCGAGGCTGTAAATCTTTACGGGAGCAGAATGCCTCAGCTTTTTCCTGTGAAACAGCTGGTAGTTTCAAACTGCTGACCTTGCGAAGCTCGCTCTCGCTCACTCTCTCTCTCTCTCTCTCTCTCTCTCTCTCTCTCTC